TTTAATATTTATTTTTTAGTTCTCGGCGGACACAATATCTTTGTTGGTATGTGGTGCTGGGGATCGAACCCGGGCCGCACGCATGCCAGACGAGCGCGCTACCGCTTGAGCCACATCCCCAGCCCGAGTTTCTTTTTTTTTTTAATATTTATTTTTTATTTTATGTAGTGCTGAGGATTGAACCCAGGACCTCGCGGGTGCTAGGCGAACGCTCTACATCTGAGCCACAATCCCAGCCCCCTGAAGTTTCTTCATCCAGCCTGCCATGTGTCAGGCATTGTGTTAGAAGCTGGCATGGTCACCAATCTCTGGGGTCCTTCAGTGTAGTGACTATGCTTTTTTGTCCTTATGGCCCAAATGTTGATAGGATACTTGAGTGGTTGCCATAAGTTAAGAGCTCCATAAATGCTTATGAGCAGCTATGTAAAGGTAGAGTAAAGGGGCTAGAAGTAAAGCTTGGTAGTAGAGTGTTTGCCTACCACTGTATAAGACCCTGGGTTTGGGGCTGGGCTTGTGGCTTAGTGGTGGAGCACTCACCTAGCATGTGCAAGGCCCTGGGTTCCATCCTCAACACCACATTAAAATAAAGGTATTGTGTCCAACTACAACTAAAAAATAAAATTTTTTTTTTAAAAAAGACCCTGAGTTTGATCACCAGCACTGAAGACCCTGCAAACAAAATCTTTTTGCTTAAAAGCAAAGTAAAGTAAGGTTTCTTGATTGTGTGGGTTCCTGTTCCATTCCTGTTCTTTACAGTTTTTACATAAGAATGAATGTTGTCTTATTAAAATTACTAGAGTTTGTATGTGAATGTGTGTGTGTTGCTGGAGATCAAACCCACGGCCTCACGCATAAGGTTAAGTGCCCTACCACTGAAATATATCCCCATCCCATTTTTGGGCTATGATAGGATCATAGGATTGTTATCATTTAATGAACAAAACACCCATCTTCAAATCTCAGAGAAAAGAACACATTTGCGCAAACAACTCTAGCTCACAGTGGAACACTGTGGGCTGTGTGGTGCTTTTCCTCTTGGTGAGTTTGTCCCTTGTGGAGGATTTGGAGACACGTAGACCTCAGGTGCCCACACATTGTGAGGCTGAAGACAGTCAAAACGACAAAATCCCTGTAGAGGGAGGAAAAAGGGGTCAGTATGGACTCTTCCGCCAAGAGGAAGTACAGTCCCCTCAAGGTGAGCTCTGCCCTGCTCCCTGCTTCATCAGCTGTCCACTAACTGGTGAACCTCTGGCCAGGTTCATTTGCTCTTTCTTCTGCGCGGCCATATTCACCACCAGGTGGCGCTATTGCCCCCCTCGCCCCCGCCTGTCTCCCTTGGATCCCAGGGCCACCTTCCCATTTTCACCTACAGAGGGAAGCAGAGAGCTTCAAACCGCCCAACCCAACCCTGTTCTCCAGCACTCCACCCCCACACCCCCCCTTTATCCGGAATACTGCATTCTGGCCACTGTTGATGGAGGCCTTTCCCAGCTGTTCATGATAACCTGGCAAAGACGCAGCTACCACCACTGATTACCAAGTGTCTACGCACATTTGCAATTAAAGTAGGGCGAGCATATTTTCTCACGGCAAAAGGAACAGATATGAGTACTGGCCTTTTGAAACTCAAAAACTTTCTATTAACTCCCCAGGATTAGATTCTAGGTATCTTCCAGGGTTATTTTGTACTTTTATAATAATCACATCAATTTTGATAGTCTTTCAAAAGAAAACTTACGATTTGATGACCACACCTGACTTTTTCAAATCTTTTCATGAAATATGTGTCATGGAGACATACATATATATATATATATATATATGTATATATAAAATGTGTGATTCCCTGGGTTCAATCCTCAACACCACATAAAAAGTCTACTTCTAGGGTTTCATCATTCTTTTGTTCATCAAGCATTTCTGGGTCCATAGTCATGCTGGGTCCTGCTGGGTTCTAGGGACATGAGGGAAGCTAGGGGTGGTGGGGGTGGTGTGACAAGTGAACAGGGCCCCAGGGTTCAATCCCCAATACCACACAAATGCACTTGCAAAGCAATCAGATTATAGGTCACAGATAATATCTTAACTTTTTTTTTTCAGTACTAGGGATTGAACCCAGGGAATCACACATGGTAGGCAAGCACTCTACATTGAGCTACCTCCTCTGCATTTTTTATCTTATTCTGGGAGAGTCTTGCTAAATTGCTTAGACTGGGCTCAAATATGCAATCCTGCCTCAGACTTCTGAATAGGGGTTATAAGCATGTGCCACCAAGCCCAACTGGTCTTAACACATTTTTAAATCAGAAACTATATACTTTGCATTTGCTGATATTATGCAATGGAAATAGAAACTGACAGTATATCTCTAAAAATATCTCTAAAATAATGATCCATCTAGAAATTTTGTTACAGATGGACAGAATGCCTTTATTTTATTTGTTTATTTTTATGTGGTGCTAAGGATCCATCTAGAAATTTTAAAATAAATTCATATGTTCTCTGATTCACTTTTACTTAAAATATAATATGTACCAAAAATAATGTTAAGCCAACATGTTCAAAATGTTTGGGACAGGGTCAGAGGAGCACTCACAAGGTATTTATTTAAATTGCTTAAAATACTTTTATTAAGAGGAAGAAAAGGGACTGGGAATGTGGCTCTGCGGTAGAGCCACAGTGCCTGGCATGTGTGAGGCACTGGGTTCTATTTTCAGCACCACATATAAATAAATGAATAAAATAAAGGTCCATAGGGACTGGGGCTGTAGTTCAGTGACAGAGTGCTTGCCTACTAGCCTATTAGAGTGCTTACTACTAGCATGTGTGAGGCACTGGGTTCAATCCTTAGCACCACATAAAAATAAACAAATAAAATAAAGGCATATGTCCATCTGTAACAAAATAATAATAATAATAATAATCAGGAAATAAAAATAAACAAATAATCAGGAAAAATGGTAAGAAGAGTCACACTTAAAAATCAAGGCAGAAAAAAAAAAAATCAAGGCAGAGAGTTGGGGATGTGGCTCAAGCGGTAACACGCTCGTCTGGCATGCTCGGGGCATTGGGTTCAATCCTCAACACCATATAAAAATAAAATAAAGACGGGCTGGGGATGTGGCTCAAGCGGTAGCACGCTCGCCTGGCATGCATGCGACCCAAGTTCGATCCTCAGCAACACATACAAACAAAGATGTTGTGTCCACCGAAAAATAAAAATTAAAAATTCTCTCTCTTTAAAAAAAAAAAAAAAAAAAAATGCTGCTATCCATTGTTAATAAAACTCTTAGTCCATTTTCTTTTTTTTTTTTAAAAAAAAAAAAAAAAAAAAAAGATAGTACCAGAAAATTTTGACAATTGTTAAAAAAAATTAAAAAATAAAGATGTTGTGTCCACCAAGAGCTGAAAAATAAATATTAAAATCAATCTCTCTCTCTCTCTCTCTCTCTCTCTCTCCCCTCTCTCTATCTCTTTGGGAAAAAAAAAAAAATCAAGGCAGAGCTGGGCACAGTGGTGCATGCCTATAATCCCAGCAGCTTGGGAGGCTGAGGCAGGAGGATTGTGAGTTCAAAGCCAGCTTCAGCAAAAGCAAGGTGACCCCAGCAACTCAGTGAGACCTTGTCTCTAAATAAAATACAAAATAGGGCTGGGGATGTGGCTCAGTGGTCAAGTGCCCCTGAGTTCAATTCCTGGTACCACCCCCCCCCAAAAAAAAAAAATCAAGGCAGAGCCCAGCACTTACTGAGTTCCTAGCAGGTGCCAGAGTCTGTATAATCCACACACTAAACTTTCTCATGGCAGTCTCATCTCAATACAATGCAATGGGGACTACCATCTTCTCCACTTCCCAGATGCAGAGACTGAGGCTCAGAGAAGTGAAGCCTGTGGTTATATAGCAAATAAGGGAGATCTAGGATTTAACCCAAGCCCTCTCAAACTCAAGAACAACAATCTTAGTTATGAATCTTATTAAGAGATATTCTAAAAACAAAATCAAAAAACCACCTGGAGTGTGGGAGGGGGATGGAAAGGAACATTAGGAAGGGGAGTAATGTTGCCATAGTAACTCTATCTGTCCCTCCCTGAAGACCTTTCAGTTATCTATGGGTGGCCACCTGTCCCCATGGCCCACATACACCAGTGGTCAGACTATTCTGCAAAATCGAAAACCCTGTTCAGATGACTCCTGGAAGCAAGTCGGGTAAGTTAAGGTCAGCCCAGTGTGGATGGACTGTTACAGACCAGACCTTGTATTGGCAGGCAGGGCAGAGGCACAGGCTATCCCAGACCCAGGGTACAAGTGCCTGTGGGATGCTAGTGACATCTCAGTCCACCATTCCCTGCAGTAGCTTGAAGCAGTATCCCATGAGCACTGCCAAGCCAAGATACCTGGAGCAACTAGAGAACTACCTACGCAAGGAGCTCCTTCTGTTGGACTTGGGCAAGGATTCTACCCAGGAACTGAGACTGCAGGTCAGAGCTACAGACAAAATGTGAGAAGGGTGGGAAGAAACCTTACTCAAAGAACTAAGCACTTCACACCTTCAGGGGAGACGACCTCTCCCAACTCTGAAGTCTCCTCCCCTGAAAAGAAGCATATCCTATGACAAAGCCAGCTAGGGCAAAGCTGTAGCATGGAACCAAAACCCTAGTGAGGCTGGAATGTACCCATCTGAGTGAGGTTAACTGGATGCAGCCTCTAGTCCCTTTTGCAGTCTCCAGGATCCAGGCTGAGTCTTATTTTATGTCAGCAAATAGAGCCCAAATTTGTCAGCTAGGCAAGCAGAAGTCATAGTGTCCACCAGCCCTGTAGTAACAACCCCAAGCTTGAGGAAAAAGCTGAGAGACAGACAGAAAGAGATCAGTCTAGATGCAACACAAATTCCAGTACATATTAGGATATCAGGGAAGGACTCAAATAGGGATGATGGCAGGGATTCCCTGACTTCTGCCCTAATCCTGACTGAAGTATTTACTGAGCCCCAGACATGTACCAGGCCCTGGACACAATCATACAAAAAGAAGTTACAGTACTAACAAGGAAGCAGAAGCTTGAAGGCACACCACTTGGAGTAGTGAGGGTGGGACTCAAACTCAAGGCTGCTTCTGTAGCCTGTGCTCATTTCAGTAAACAATGCTACCTCTCTGCAAATCAAGAGGTCCCTGCTTCATACCTGAGTAACATCTCAGAAAAACAAAACAACAAACAAAAAACAATCTTCCTGTGTCCAAGTGGAATAGAAAATCATACATCCACTATGAAGCTGGAACTTAAGGCAGGCTTGAACCTTCAACTTCTTCCCCCAGGATGGCAGGTGAGAGGCCAACAGATTCAGGAGTTAGAAAGCAAGAAGCTGGTTACCCGGGAACCAGAGGCAGGGCTCAGACAGAGTGCCTGGCCCATGATGGTTCACCATGCCTCACAGACCAGCAGAGGCCTGCAGGCAGCTGCTCCCCAGCTCCATGGTGCCATGAAAAACTTTGGTGATGTCTTGGGCATTCATTTGTGTTACCTGGGAACACTTCTGTGCCCAGTTTAAAAAAAAAATGGGTTCCTATAAAAGGGTGGCATCTATGAGCCAGGAATTGACAGGATTCCTTTTTTTTTTTTTTTTTTTTTTTGCCAGCCTTACAGAGAGATCTTTGAGTTCTTCATAGAGGATTTCAAAACATATAAACCATTACTATCCTCCATCAAGAATGCATATGAGCTAATGCTGGGTAAGAACACAGCCCTTCTCATGAACCCAGCCTACAATGGATGCAGAGGATTCTAATCTTTCTGAGGCTCCACAGCAGGGTTGGGGCAACTACTAATTGGGATTTGAGGTCACTTTTGCATGTACTGTTCTGTGATAGGGCTCCCCAGAGGACATCACCTCCTCCTGTCCTTGAGAGGGAACCCCAGAAGAGTGAGCACCTCTGGGAAGTGAGGTGGTCGTTTTTCAGACTCAAAAGGTATAAAGCAGATTGTGGCTTTAGGACTAAAGATGCAGGGCTAAGTGTGTAGTAGCAACCCTAATCCTCATTTGGACTCTGCCCTTGCTTTTAAAGCAAGTGTGAGAATGTCTGAACTAGGAACCATGGCATTTAACAGGCAAGTATAGACTCTTGGTGTTTGCAAGTGATAGCCACTTACCCATGACCTTAGGATCTGTCTCCTGGCTGCTCTTCATGTCTCCAAAAGGACTCTTCCATCCATCCCTGCTTAGCCCACCAAAGGGAGAAGATTCGTGCCCTGGAGCCACTGAAGGCCAAGCTTGTCACTCTGAACGAGGATTGCAATGAAAGAATCATGGCTATGAGGGCTGAGGAGAGGTATGAAATCTCCATGCTCAAGAAAGAGAAGATGAATTTGTTAAAACTCATTGACAAAAAGAATGAAGAGAAGATCTCATTGCAGACAGAGGTGAATGAAAATGATGTACTGACCAAGTCCCTGAATTCCTGCCCCCTCATGGTTACCTTATTATGCACAAGGCTACTCCTAACCCTATCCACCCTCCATCTACCTTTTTAATCCCTCCCCAGAGCCTCTGTTACCTCTACCCTCTGACCTGCTGCAGGGCTCAAAACAGGTTTGGTGTGGCCCTGAGTGCCAGCAGACTTTCTTCACAGGAGGAAGCACTGGCATCTTGTTGGGTTCTTGGGAATGCTGCTTTTCTTCTTCAACCTTTCTTATTCCTAAGCTGAGGACCACCTAACACCCATCCCACCCCTGTATCGACTGGCTGCCTACAGGGATCCATAGAAAGCTCCTGACTACACAACCACTGTCCTAGTAGGTGTCCAAACTGAGGAAGAACTTGGCCGAGGAGTACCTACACTACCTCAGTGAGCGAGATGCCCGCAAGATCCTCATTGGAGATCTGAATGAGCTTCGGTACCAGCGGGAGGACATGTCACTAGCCCAGTCCCCAGGTAACCTGAGTCAGGAGTCTCTCCCCTCTCAAAGGGCTGGAGAAAAGTCTGGCTCTCATCACTCACCCCGTTCATTCAAGATTTGTAATATCTGCTCATTCTGTACCCATACATGTGGGACATGTCCCTTTTACTAACAAGGGTTGTGAATCTTTTGAGTAGGACGAGAATCATGGGATCATTAAGTAGGAATACTCCTAGCAGCTGAGATAGCCAGGGCTCCCTGTGGACCAGACAGGCCTAGTAACACATGTGGTGGGTTTCACTACTTAAGCATGAACCCCTAAACTGGTAGCCATGTGGATAAGACATGGGAGATTCAAGGCAGATAAGGCAGAAAAATCTTGAGTATGCTAAGGGATACTTAACCCAGGCCTGGGCTACAAACCCCAGAGTCAAGGTGACACAGGCTGATGGGTCCCCTGGCAGGCGTCTGGGGGGAGGACCCCGTAAAGCTAACCCTGGCTCTGAAGATGACCCGGCAAGATCTGACCCGCACACAGATGGAACTCAACACCATGAAGGCCAACTTTGGAGATGTGGTACCCAGGAGAGACTTTGAAATGCAGGAAAAGATTAACAAGGATCTTCAAGAGCAGGTGCTGGTGGGCAAGCGGGGCCAGGAATGGTAGGGCAGGGTTAAGCAGGTGGGTGGCTAGGACCAATCACCTTACCCACAGCTGGACAGTCTGCGAGCTGATTATGAAGAGGTCTGCAAGGAGCATGATTCACTGCTACAGATGCACATGAGCACACTGAAGGAACGAGACCAGTTCTTTTCTGAGCTGCAGGAGATCCAGCGTACGTCCACACCACGACCTAACTGGACCAAGTGTGAAGGTAATGATGACTTTCCTGGCCCCAGGGTCTGCTAAAAGACATGAACTGGACTCCAGGTCCTTCTCCCCTTCTGCAGATGTGGTGGCTGGAGGCCAAGAACGCTGGCATATGCTGGCAGCAGACAAGAACAGCGACCAGCTGGTTGATGTGCTGTTGGAGGAGATTGGCGAAGGCCTGCTCCGGGAGAAAGACTCCTTTCCTGGTCTGGTAGGGCATTCCTAGCAGCAAGTTTGGGTCAAAGTCGGAATAGTCAGATTGTGCTATTAAGGAGAGTTGAGCTTTAAAGGAGACCATCTGGGGCTCTTCCCTGCTTGGAGGTGGGGATATCAGGTAGCCCAGACATGAACGGAAACCATGACTTCCAGGGTTATGGGGAAACCATCCCTACTTTCCTTCGGTTTGATGGCCCCGTGGAGAACAAGAAACCAAGCAAGAAGGAAGTGGTAAACATCCTTAAGAATGCCTGGAAGGAACGTCTGGCACAGGAACAGGTCAGTTCTCACCAGTCATGTTGGCCCAGTGTGGCCTTATATCAAGTCCTCTAGGGGGTCCCCTCATGGTGCTAGGGAATAGGGGTGGGTCAGCCAACCCTGGGACATGCTGACCAAGCATCCTCCCCACTCTGCAGAAAGAAAAGTTTCCAGATTTCTTCTTCAATTTCTTGGAGCGTCGCTTTGGGCCCAGTGATGCCATAGCCTGGGCTTATACCATTTTTGAGAATATCAAGCTCTTCCACACCAATGAAGTCATGAGTCAATTCTATGCAGTTCTAATGGGAAAGGTAAGCTTGGACCTGTTTCCCTACCTGGTTCCCTCAGGGAGACAGAGGGACCTTTGTCTTCAGCATAGCCCAGCACTGCCCCCATCACTCCACAAAGCAGCAAGTTAGTGAATAATTTCCTTTCTATAGAGGACAGAGAGTGTGTATATCAACCATAAGGAAACAGTAGCCCAGTTGCAAAAAGAGATGACCAATGCTGACAGTCAGAACGAGGGGCTACTAAGCATGGAGCAGTTCAGGTAAGAGGCCAGTCCTGGCCACACCAAACTTCGGCACCTCTCCTCTGGCCAGGAATACAGGGAAAAAAGAAGCCTGGCAGGAACAGTCACAGCCTCAGAGATTGCTGTTCTTCTGTACACTAATGGGGATGGCAGAAAAGGGTGTGGGGAATTTGGTGGGCAGCCTCTGCCAGTCCTCTTGTTTGTCCTTTTGTTTCCCCATAGCAACATCCTTAAGAGCACTTTCCCCCTCAAGAAGGAAGAGCAAATTCAGGAGCTGATGGAGGCAGGGGGCTGGCATCCCAACAGCAACAGTTCAGACTTGTTCAACTACCGCTCATTGTTTATGGAGGTAGGTAGGGAGTCTAAGAACTTGCTCAGCTCCTACCCTAGCTTTGACTGGCCCCCATTCAATGTGGCCTCACCCTGCCTGGTGGCCTCTTCCAGAATGAGGAGGGCCAGAGTGATCCCTTTGTGCAAAAGCTGTGGCAACAGTATGTGATTGAGAAGGATGAGTACCTACGTGAACTAAAGCAGGAGCTGGGCCTGGAACTGTGAGTGACCCTGGTGCCTATAGGTCCACTTGGCCATTGGTGATTCCCACACAAGTCAAGTTCCACAGGGTGGCATCTCAGGCCCCTGAGTGCACTGAGCTTTCTGCTGGGCACTATAAACTGCTCAAGTCCAGCAGAAAGGAGAGCACTTTAAGAGTTTGGGCTACAGAGACGAAGGCTCAAGCCTGTTTCTCTTCTTTTTTTGTGAGGCAGCCATAATGAGGTGACCCTATCCAAGATGCGTAGGGCCTTGATGAACATTGATCCCAGCCTGGACAAGCAGACTTTGAGCACCTACCTGAGCCAGGCATTTCAGCTCCCCATATCAGAACTTCCAGAGGAAGGCAACGAGGTGGAGGAAGGCACCAAGCTATGTCTCAGACTTGCACTGGAACAGCTTCAGATGGCTGATGTCAAGCGCATAGGGCCTCGAGACATAGAGCCTACAAGCTAGGACCATCATGGATCAGATGAGAGCTTCAGTGCTGCTAATACAATGTTTAGTACTAAACTGTTTGAACCCATACCGTTTTCGAGGCTATGTTGAGGTGTTGGGTGGTAAGGGAAGGAGGATTTGGGAGGTTATGATATGAACCAAAAAGCAGAATATTCTATTTGTCACAATTTATTGATGCTAGGGGACAGGGAGGAGAGCTGGAGGGTTATGTGGGGTTAAGAGGCCTCAGGTGGGGAGACAGCATATTGAAGCCTGGCCACTACTGCACAGGGAAGACAGAATTCCCACTGAATGCACAGGGGATGAGCAGCTGCCGGTACTCCAGGGGTAGGTGTCGTTCCACAAGCACATACAATGAGACTTGGTCAGTGATCAGGCCCTGCCTGCAGCAGAGGAAGAGAGGGGTGTAGGGAATCAGTACCAGCACTCCCACACTCAGCCTTCCTCTTCTGCTCACTCACCGCACCCAGCCTTCCTCTTCTGCTCACTCACCGTCGCATCAACAGTTCCAGGTCTTCTGGCCTCACGGTCTTTCGGCCAGCATGAGCAGCAAATACCTCCAGGTCATTGCACAGGTGCTGGAAATACTTGTCTAGGCTGCCAAGAAGTTTGGGTTACAGCAGACTGAACAGTCTGTTCATAATCTGAGAGGCCCCACTCTCCATCCAGGTGTCCAAGACTCACCATTTCTCCACCATTTCAAAAGCCTTCCTCTCCATAGGCATCTTAGCATAGAAGCTGAAGAGTTTTGCATAGTGGTTCAGTCCAGCCTTATAGGAATCTTGACGGGGCCTGGAGCCAGCAGTTCGGGGTCTGGGGGTAAGCCGGGCTGACACAGGCTCCCTAGTCTCTGAAGGCAAGCTGGGGGCAGGAATGGACAGAGATGGTTAAACTGCTTTACTTGAGAAGGTCCCTAATAAGGGCAAGTCCTACTGACTCATGATAAGACTGAGTCTATGTGCTCCTTAGCTTGGACCAGCAATCCCAACCATCTACTGAGAAGCAGTGGACTTGGGACCACACAGAAAGTTGGGTCCAGTGTTTCCCTGGACCCTGTTTGTCCAGTCTGGATACAATTTCCAAGTCTAGCCTCCTCATATACAATGGTACTTGCTCAGGCCTGCGATCCCCTGGCCTCAGAATGAATATTTTCTCCCCTCAGGAGTCTTATCACTGCCTGTCCCAATTCTGCTAATCCTCCTCCAGGAAGCCCTGCGTACACACTGACCTAGGCACATCTACCTCACCCTAGCTCCCGTAAGCTCTTGGAGGTAGGCATCAGGATCAGATATGCCCTTGGGAAGTATCTCCTCATACTGGCTCAGGCTGCTGTGCTGGATAATCATCTGCATACCTGTGGAAAAGGGGATGACTGTGCACAAGGTACCTAATGCTGACTTCAGTGCCAGGCCCTTTCCCAAGAGGCCCATGAGTAACAGGGTCATGGAATCTTACACTGCAACATCAGGCGGTGGGGCTGGCTCAAGAATTGAATGCAGTCGCTTGGCCTGAAGGAACCTGGGGGTGCTGGATGCCAATTGTGGACTTGCTGCAGAGAAAGGGTAGGGTCATAGGAAGCTCACATTTGACCCATCTCACCCAGTTACACAGGTCCAGTAAAGTCTTTTCCTGTTTCTCAAGAGCCTCAACTAGTTCCAGCTAAACAAGTATCCCTCAGAGTCTCCCTGGCTCCCTACCCAGAAACAATACAGGCAAGCCCCTTGTGTGTGGAGGGCCTGAACACAGCTGTTGCCATTTACCCACTGATCCACATACTAGGCTTCTTACCTGGCCTGTCAGAGGTGTTCTCATCCTCTGAAGATCCTTCTGGCTCCTCTGTCTCCATAGTCTCCTGGGATTCCTCTGCTTCCATTACTTCTGAAACAAAGCAGGCCAAGGCTGTGGCTCCAAGAAGGGTAAAGATGGAGCAGCAAGGCGAGCCCCACTCATTGAGGAAAGACCAAGTCAGAGGCAGCACCAGGGCACTAATGTGAAATCTTCTGGTCTAACACTGACGCTGTTTTGGGTGGAGGAAGAACCTCCAGCCAGAATGCTTTGGGGAACACAGTGCTAGGGCTTGAGGAAGGAAAATCAACAGTGTTAACTTGCCCAAGCTAAGCTTGGCTCCAGGCCACCTGCCCTACATACTCACTGTGGTTCTGTAGCCCAGGTCCACTGCTCTGTGTCCTATCCCCCGTAGTCCTCTCAGCATCTTCAGTACCAGTAGGAAAGGGGTTGGGCAGAGAGCGATGTACACTGGGGGAGCAGCCAACCAAGGGCTGTGAGAATGGCTGGGTATCTTCCAGTACAGTGTCCGATGGCAGATTTGCAATAGGGGTTTTAAGGCTGTCACCTGAAGATCAAGAGCCAGCTGGCATTCAGTGTATTAAAGGCTAACCTGCTGATACTGAGTTGCTAGGGTCTGAGCAATTGGCCCCATGGGTGTGCCCTGCCTGAGTGGTCTCAGAGAGAGATGACCTACACCCTAAACTTCATCTCCCTTCCACTGCTTTCATTGCTTACCTTTCTGCTTTTGGTCCACAGCTTGCCCATCTGCAACTATTTACCCTTACCTGTACTCTTCACTTTCCTTCAGCCCAGAAATTTTCCTACTCTGATAAATTTGACTTGTCTTAGGGAATCAGGCTCCCAGGTCAGCTCTAACTGGCTTGCTGATCATGAATCCGCCTTTCATTCTTCCAATGAGTTTCAACCACCAGACCACACCCTTTTCCTACCCTACCCCTGTAGTTCAAGGATTTGAGATTCTGGAAGAAATGGAGACACTCAGATTGAGCTCCACCAAGGCCAGTGCCAATAACCATGGAAAGAAAGTAGAAACTCCTCATAGACCTATTAGCCAGGCTCAAATGCTATCTTTGATTCCACCAAGAGGGATACAACCCCAGAGTGAAGAGTATCTTCCAATCTCCCAAATGCTGAAAGGCAAAACCTCAACCTTACCTGGAGGAGCCAAGGCCAAGGAATTATCTTGCAGATCCTGCAACAAGGCACCCACATCTATAGCACGGGGGCGGGGAGGTCTGCGAGCCAAACCAGGTCTCCTCACTGACTGTGGCTTAAGAGGTGTAGCAAAAGTCAGGTTGAAGGAGCTGGTGGTAGGGAGGAGGCAAGAGGAAAGTCAGGTACGTGAGGCCCAATGTCCCCAAAGGAATGCCCCTATCTGCCCTTGGGGTTCTCATCTTTTAGAATGTAGTCACAAGTGTGTGAGGCTAGAACCAGCAGGGATCATATAGCTAGATTCCATCAGTAAGAACCTCTCTCCCCAAACCTCTACTCAATTAACCCCCAGAACAGGGAATAATACCTGGTAAGGGATGGGGCATCAGCATTTTCAGGATGCTCTGTCAGTGACCAGAACGAAGATGTAAAAAGAAGAAATCACGGTAAATTATTAAGAGTCCATGAATGCTCTCCCTCAGGCCTCCTTAAGCCTCTTCAGAAAACAGGAAGCAGAGGACAGCAACAGGTTGTATCCTAGGCCTTACCTTGCAAGTGAGGCAGGCCCTGGTCTACTTCCTGCTGAAACACTGACAATCTCAACCTCTGCTTCTTCCTGTCAGAGGCTGGCAGACCTGCAGCCAGGGTTGTCCGGGGCTCAAGTTCAGGAAGTTGTAGCTCCAGGCTATGAGGACAGATCTTATCTCAGACAGGCAAGGAAGCCCAACTTTGGCATTTGGAGCCAAGAGGTGCCCAGACCAGAACAACTCAACAGCCCAGCCCAAGAGGAAAGTTCACTGTGTACCTGCCCTGACTGCTTTCCCTTCTGGAGGGTTGGACCACCTGCAGTGCTGGCACTGGCTTCACCATGGCCTCTGGCGTGAGGATGGAAGATTTGGGGGCTGCAGAATAGAACAGCAAAGGCTTCCTTGAATGAGGGCTAGCACAGGATTGGTGCCTATCTCTGCCTGGCAGATCAGTGCCCACTCACCAGTTATTAGGATGTTCTCTACCAGAGTCCGGGGTGTCTGTTCCTTTAGGTTACCAATGACTTGAATGTGGGCCAGTCTGCCAATAGACTATGGGTGAAACCATCATGCAATTAGTCTGTTTTTTGTTTGTTTTTTTTTTGTTTTTTCTTTTGCCTGGGGAGTCCTTCAAGATGGGCTCCAGAAATAGACCTGATAGCCCCAAGAAGGCAGTCTGGGCCCTATAGTCATCAGTGGACTGGGCACTTACCCTGACTCCATGGGAACGCTGTTTGGCAGATGTCTTTGTTCTGCTACTCAGCCTCCTGGAGGAAGATGTTGTAAGTAGGGTTCTCTGGGCACTGTGTAAAGACCAATTTTCTAAGAATTATGTAAGGGAATTGAAATGACAGGCTATATGATGCAGAGACAGGCTTTCACCAGGGGTCTTGGTTTAAAGCCCTTTTCTCTTAGAGATAAGAACCCAGAAACCACTTGAGCCTTCCATAGCCTCTGTGTCAAACAAGTATGTGTGTGGAAAGAGAACTATTAGGTATGGGAAGAAAGGGACCATGATTGATCCAGAGGGGTACTGAAGAAGCCTTCACAAAGTGTCTTTAGCAGAACCATAAAGGATAAGTTGGGATTAGCCATACAGACAAGAGGAATAATCGGAAGAGCTTCCATTCCAAACACTTTTAAAAGTCTGAAGGCTATTTAAGTATTTTTAACCCTTTTGATTACTTGTCAGGGTCTGATGGGAGACTAAAATGGGTCACCCAATTCTGTCTCCCCAGTCCAGTAACTCTCAGAACCACATAAATATTCCCTGAGCACAGGTTCTATCTCATCACTCATAGGTAAAAAATCTATCATAAATGACTTCCCACTCCTTTATAAGGGAAAGGACTGAACTGCTCAAATTCCCACTTATGCACCCTCTGCCCCATGAGATCACCACAACCCTCTCCCAGGGTCACTCCCTCCAAGTCAGGACAAATTCCTGCTCCCTAGTAAAACATCTTTCTAGTTCCTGTCTCCCGACTTTTGCGAAGGCTGTTCTCTCTAGTTCCGTTCCCATCTTTCAGCTGGGAACTGCAGAGTACGGCTGAATGTGCAGGAAAAGGTGGGGACCACCCGGAAGGCAAGGGCAGATGTCTGGACACACCCTGGGTGGTGTGGGCCAAACAGCCTAGAAAACTTAGCAAGTATCCTTCTGACTCCAGAAGTGGAAGACTCCGAGAGTGCACTCTGTGGTCCCGAGGCCTGGTTGCCTGGAGCTCCAGGGTAGGGGCACAAACAGCTTGGCCTAGCCAGGCTAGGGGAGTGGAGCAATTCTCGGTGCCCAGAGCTCTGCTTCTCTCTGGGACTGTTGCCCTCTCCAAATGGGGTTGATGTTGGCTCCCACCAAGACCCCACTCCCGGGTCCTTCTAATTGCGTCGCCTTCCCATACCCAGCCCCGGAACTCCGGGGTCGCCGCGGGGTACGCGAATCCGCGTTATCCAGCACGCGCTGCAGGACCGTGCGAATAGTAGGCTCGCTGTCCCAGTTGTCGGCCATCCTCACCGCCTCCGGCTTTCGCAAACGCACAGGAAGCTGCCGATACTGCGTTCCCGCCGTCGCATTTAAGGAAGATATCGCGATGCTTCCGCACAGCCCCACGGGAATTGAAGTTTTCGCCTTACCCGCGGTGCGCCTTGCGAACCCGGGTGATTGCTAACTATAGCTTTGGAGGCAGCCTTTCCAAACGTAAGGCTGGACAACTGTATGCTCCACTCCAAATTTTGGTTTTCTCATCTATAAGACAAGGCTGAAACCCACCTAATAAAGATTCGTGTCGGGACGGGTGTTGGGGACTGAACCCAGGGGTGCTCCTACCGCGGAGCTACATCTCCAAGCCCTTTCTAAAATTTTGATTCAGAGTCTCACTAAATTGCTGAGGCTGATTTAGAATTTGCGATCCTTAGGTCTCAGCCTCCTAAATCGCAGAGATTACAAAGTGCGCCACCTCGACTAGTGAATAGGCATATTTGTGTTTGTTATTAAAACAAAACAAAACGTGTGGTAACCCACACCGGTAATACCAGTAATTCAGTAGGGACACTAAGAAAGATGGCCAGTAAGTCAGCCTCGGCAATTTAGCGAGACCTTATGAAACATTAATTAATTAATTAATTAATTGCTGGGATCCGGGCGCGGTGACGCATTCCTGTAATCCCTGAGACTTGGATCGCAACTTCCAGACCAGCCTAGCAATTTAATGAGCCAATTTAGTGAGACTCTGTCTCAAAATAAAAAATAAAAATGACTGGGGATGTAACTCAGTGATAAAGCACCCTTGGGCTCAATAAGTACCCAAAAATAAAAAGTGCTGGGCTGGGATATTACTCAGCGGTTACTTTACCCCTGGGTTTCATCCCCAGTATTTAGGGGTGGGGGAGTGGGGAAGGAGCAAAGAAAAATTAGATTCTAGCTTCTGAAAATAATAGAACTGCCTGGCGGGTGCAGCACACCTGTAATCCCAGCAACTAAGGCAGGAAGATCACAAGTTCAAGACCAACCTGGATAATTTAGTGAGACCTTTTCTCAAAAAAAAAGTAGGGAAGGCTGGGGTTGTGGCTCAGTAGTAGAGCACTTGCCTAGCACGTGTGAGGCACTGGGTTTGATCCTCAGCAACACATAAAAATTAATAAAATAAAGGTATTGTGTCCATCTACATCTAAAAAATTTTTTAAAAAACTGTAAAAGGAAAGCATACCAATATTCCTTGCTTTAAAAAAAAATATTTGTCATTTATGCCTGATCTCTTTGCTATGTGACTTTTTTTTTTTTTTCAATAGTGGGGATAGATACCAGGAATGATCTACCTATGAGTTACATTCCAGTCTTTTCTATTGTTATTTTGGAAAATAAAAAAAAAAAAAGGGGAAAGTATTATCCATAAATCCCCCTGGGGTTGGCCTCAAACTTGTGATCTTCCTGCCTCAACCTCCCAAGTACCTAGGATTACAGGTGTGCACAACAATGTCTGGCTATCTGACTTAACTTGCTAGGTCTTTGCAGTCACATTTTCATGGTCACTACCAAACACCTAAGCCCAGGTTTTTGTTATTTTTTATTTATTTAAAGAGTGAGAGAGAGAGAGAGAGAAAGGGAGAAAGAGAGAATTTTAATGTTAATTTTTAGTATTTGGTGGACACAACATCTTTGTCTGTTTGTGGTGCTGAGGATCGAACCCAGGCCACACGCATGCCAGGCGAGCGCTCTACCGCTTGAGCCACATCCCTAGCCCTTCTTTTTTTTTTTTTTTTTAAATTGTGATTCTGAAGATTTTTTTCTTTGGTTTGTTTTTGTTTTGTTTTTGGTTCTAGGAATTGAATCTAGGGGTGCTTTACCACTGAGCTATATCCCCAGCCCACTTTCTTTCTTTTCTTTTCTTTTTTTTTTTTTTTTTTAATTTTGAGACAGTCTTGCCAACTTGCTCAAAGCCTGGCTAAATTGCTGAGGCTGGCCTTGAACTTGTGATCTTCCTGCTCAGCCTCCTAAATTGGTGGGATTAAAGGCATGCATCAAGGTGCCCAACTGTTTATTTTAAACATGATAGTTGGGTGTAATGTCCATGCCTATAGTTCCAGTACTTGGAACTTTGAGATAGAAGGATCAAGAGTTGAGGCCAAGGGCTGGGGTTGTGATTTAGTGGTAGAGTACTTACCTTGCACACGTGAGGCACTGGGTTGGAGCCTCAGCACCACATGAAATAAATAAGTAAAACAAAGGTTTTGTGTCTGTGTTTAACTTAAAAAAAAAAAAAAGAGTTGAGGCCAGCTATGTACAGTAGCACACATCTGTAATCCCAGCGATTCAGGAGGTTGAGACAGGAGGATCACAAATTGGAAACCTGCCTAAGCAATTTAGCAAGACCCTGTCTCCAAAAATAAAAAGGGCTGAGGGCATGGCTCAGTGATAAAGCACCCCTGGGTTCAATTCCCTCCCTGCAAAAAAAATATATATATATAATTTTTTTTATTAAATATTTATTTTTTAGTTTTTCAGCGGACACAACATCTTTGTTTGTATGTGGTGCTGAGGATTGAACCTGGGCCACACGCATGCCAGGCAAGCGTGCTACTGCTTGAGCCACATCCCCAGCCCCCCCAAAATTCTTAAAGCTAACCTGGGGAAACCTGTCTCAAAATCAAGGACTAGGTCTGGGAATATAGTAAGTGGTAGCACTTGCTTACCGCATACAAGGCCCAGGGTTCAATTCCCAGTACCACAAACACACAAAAAGGAAAGATCTGGGCATGTCTGAGTAGTAGATAAAATACTTGCCTAACATACACAAGCCCCTGTCTCAGGCTCCTAAACTGCTGGGATTATAGGGGTGCACCACCATGCCCAGTTCCGCCTTGATGTTTAAGTATGACTCCTCTTACCATTTTTTCTTCCTTATTTATTTGTTTTTATTTCCTGATTATTATTTTCTTATTGACAGTTCTTTTTTAATATTTTATTAGTTGTTGATGGACCTTTATTTATTTATATGTGGTGCTGAGAATCCAACCCAATGCCTCCCACATGCTAGGCAAGCACTCTACCACTGAGCTACAACCCCAGCCCCTTGACAGTTCATTTTTTTAAAAAAAATATTATTTTTTAGTTGTAGCTGAATACAATAGCTTTATTTATTTATTTTTATGTGGTGCTGAGGATTGAACCCAGGGCCTCGCATGTGCTAGGCAAGTACTCTACCACTGAGCCATAACCCCAGCCCATATTGACAGTACCTTTCCTTCTCTAGTGAGAAGTTCCTTAAGACATTTTTTCCTTTCTTTAAAACAAAATGTGTATTTTTAGTTGTTGATGGACTTTTATTTTATTTATTTACTTTTTTTTTAAACTTGTGGGTAATTTTTATTTATTTATTTATTTTTTAGAGAGAGAGAATTTTTAATATTTATTTTTTAGTTCTTGGCAGACACAACATCTTTGTTGGTATGTGGTGCTGAGGATCAAACCCGGGCCGCACGCATGCCAGGCGAGCACGCTACCGCTTGAGCCACATCCCCAACCCTTATTTACTTTTTGTAGTGATAGATGGATAGTATTATAGGCGTGCACCACTATGCCTGGCTATATAGGGTCTTGTAAGTTCTAGGAAGGAATTTAGAAAGTATTCTAAATGGAATAGAAAGTCACTAGAGAGATTTGAGCAGAGGTATGACTTAACCAGATTTTCTTTGGTAGCCATGTGAAGAACAGATTGTAGAGTAGGCAAGATTGGAAACACAGACATGTAATAAGGTTTTTGCCTTTCCCCAGCAAATCCAGGGCCTTGCATTCCCTACCACTCAGATGCAACTTTGAGTGTAGAAGATGAATTATAGATTAAAGGTGATTTTATGTACTGGAAAGTAGAGTTTAATTGAGCATAATCTTCAATATTTTGTGCATAAATATCAATTTGACCTTTTTTTTTTTTTTTTTTTTGGTACTAGAGATTGAACTCAGGGGCAGTTAACCACTGAGCCACATTCCCAGTCCTTTTTCGTATTTTTTTTAGAGACAGGACCTCACTGAGTTGCTTAGGGTCTCACTAAATTGCTCAGGCTAGCTTTGAATTTGTGATCTTCCTGCCTCAGCCTCCTGAGTCTCTGAGATTACAGGCATGCACCACTTCGCCCAGCTCTCTTCAATTTTTAAGTACAGTGAATCTTAACACAGAGAGGAACTGAACCATATTAATAGCTGTATGACAATGAAAATACATAACAATGATCTTTTGCTAATTTTTATGTCTATACATCTTACAAAAATTTAAACAAATATAAAAGTTTAGGCTTGGTAGCACATGCCTATGATGCCAGCTACTTGGAAGGCTGAGGCAGGAAGATCACAAATTCAAGGCCATCTAGGATGACTTCATGAGGCTCTTTCAAAGTAAAAAATAAGCCAGGCACAGTCCAAATGTCTGAGTGTTAGAAATAAGTTACTTTTCCCCCCAAATTGTCCTGTATTTTTCTAAAACATTTAAAGCATGAGTCCCCTTTGTGATAAAGAACAATAAACGAACAAATAAACAAAAAAATAAAAAGAGGAGCTGAGGTTGTGGTAGAGTGCTTACCTAGCATGCCTGAGGCACAGGGTTCAATCCTCAGCACCACATAAAAATAAAGAAAGAAAGAAAGAAAGAAAGATATTGTGTTCATCTACAACTAATAAATAATAATAATAATAATAATAATAATAATAATAATAATAAATAAGAAAAGCCAATGGCACACTCCTATAAACTCCTCCAGAGGCTGAGGCAGGAGGATTGTCTCCTCTTCTGGAGGAGTTTATAGGAGTGTGCTATTGGCTCTTATTTATTATTATTATTATTATTATTTATTAGTTTATAGGAGTGTGCCATTGGCAACTTAAGGAGACACTATCTCAAAATAAAATTTTAAAAGGGGATGGGCCTGTGGTTGGGGTTGTGGCTCAATGGTAGAGTGCTTGCCTAGCATGTGTGAGGCACTGGGTTTGATTTTCAGCAACGCCGATAAATAAATAAAAAATAAACCACATATATATATATATATATATATGGATATATGGCTGGGACATAGCACAGCAGTAGGGCACTCCTGGGTTCAATCCTCAGTACCATAAAAACAAAAAAATTAAATAAATTAAAAGGGCTGAAGCTAGCTTAGAGAGGGTCCTGGGTTCAATTCCTAGTACCACAAGGGGGCGGGAGTGGGGGGAGTCAGGAAAAAGGGTGAAAAGGGGCAAGAAAAAAAATGGGAGAAATGGAGAACTCTGCAAAGAAAGGCTAATTTGCAGGTAACTTCCATGTGTATTGCCTGGCTCCTCTCTCATTTTCACAGCCTCATTACACTTTAAAAGATTTTCTCCCAAAGATGTCAAGGGAGAGAGAGAGGTATTACCTACAATGCAAGTCGTTTTACTTAAAACTCTTCGATGGTTCCCAGTTACCTGCAGAATAAAATACCAAATTCTCTAAAATAGCCCAGTTTGTTATCTTTCAGCGCTTTTGCTACCCTGGCTGTCTGCTCCCATGCCCTTTAAGGGCCAAGAAAAGGCTACAACTTCCAATCAAGGACTTAAAGATTCTGGGGTTGGGACTGTGGCTCAGCGGTAGCGCACTTGACTTGCATGTGTGAGGCCCTGGGTTTGATCTCAGCACCACATAAAAAAAATAAATAAAATAAAGGTATTGGGTCAAACTACAACTAAAAATAAGTATAAAAATTGTTTTTTTTAAAAAAAGGACTTAAAGTTCTAACTTTCTAGGTTCCTGATCACCACCACTTCCATTTTTTCCTCTGCCCTATTCGTTCATTTGTACGTTTACTTCTGACTAGCCATCTATTTGCAACATTCACATCTATTATTGAAAAGACAGATCCTAATCCTTCTAGGGTTTCTGGCTCCAAGAGGAAGGGACCTGGTCATTCTGGCTCCTTGCAGCCCCCTGCCCTATGTACTGCAAATAGTTGCCTAGTAGTGATTTAAATTATGTAAGTGAATCAAATCCGGCTGAGTCGGAAGTCTCCAAGGCAGAGAAAGTGGTTCCTGAGCTCCTTCGGGGCACCGAGGCCCA